ACCCCCAGCCCCTCCAGCTGTGCCCACTCTCACATCCCCAAACCCTGCAGGAAGTATTTACTCTGCAAACTTCCTGGACTGCTCATATCAGCTCAAGGGTATTGGAGTGGGGATTCCCATGAGTTTGGGGTGCCATTTGATTCCCTAAATGCCTTGCTGTGACCACAGGAACCACCCTGCTGCTCTTCCGTACGGAGACACAGCCTCACTAAGGCGCATTAAAGCTTCGACCCCTTAATTAGCTGTGGAGATTAGGGGAGGGCTGAGCTCTCCCCGCGGGGCAGACATGACCTCAGTTCCTGTTTTTCCAGGGGGAAAAAAAAAGCAGCAGCTCAGTATGTCCCTCTACCCCTTAGCATGGCTGGACAGGACACACATGTCCCCAAGACCACCTGGAGTGCTCCTGAGGACTGGGGCAGACTTTGGTGTTGAGTCTGTGCCCCCCGGCTCCATTTTTGGTGAATGCTGATGGTGAGTGCTCACCCAGCACAACCAGGCAGGAAAGGGGCCCAGGAAGCCACAGATGAATCATGAGCATCTGTGCCCACAGAGCCACCGGCCAGGGCTGCACAGGGAGAGGGAGCGGATGGAGAGCCACAACCAGGGGCATTTGTACCCAGGGAAGTCCAGGGTTGATGCTCCTTCTTGGAGCATCAGTCCCACCACACAGCTGAGGCTGCATCCAGTCCTATGTCCCCAGCCTGAAGGGTTTCACTTCTGTAGGAGGACGGGAAGCTGAAGAGGTTTTACTGCAGCCCAGGGCTGGGGTTTGTTTCCTGCCCCAGGAGGAGATGGAGGAGGGGATGTATTTCAGCCTTAGCAAGGCAGTGATGGGGGAGCCCCCTCTGCTCACTGGCTGTAATGCAAAGCCACAGACTGCTCTCTGGGGAAATGAGGGGAAGGATGCTCATCAGCTGGCTGGAAAGGGCTCTCAAAGATGGAATAAAAGGGAGATGATAAATAAAAGACTAAAGGGGAAAGTCTTTGAGGGCCTGGGGATCCCGTCCTGCAGCTGTGCCAGCAAGAACACAGGTCACTGAGAACCCCTCAGGGTGCTCAGGGTCCCCACCATGAGATGCTTTCAGCAGCATGTCAGCGGTGGCTTTACAGGATCTGCCTCCATGCCCCAGCCTTGAGGGAACAGATCTGCTCCCCAGAATAAACCTTTCAGGTCTTTTGCCTTTGAAAGAGGATTTTTCCTCTTGCCTTTCTATCCTCGCAACAGCAGCTCTGCCTCTCCGAGCCCTGGTAACAGCATTAGCGAGTCACAGCAGCTCAGCCCAACAGCAAGTGACAGCTGAAATCCTACTGCTGCTGGCAAATCCCCCATTCCCCGTGCTGCCCTGGCAGCCTGCAAGGGGCAGGGACAGCATGTGGCCTCCAGCCACCCCCCACAGGGACCCTCTGCTCCCCCAGACCCCACGGGGCTCCCAGGCCACCCTCAAGTCCAGCTGCTGGCACTGGCCGGAGGGACACAGGCTGCAACAGCCACAACCCTGGAGCAGAAGCAGCTTTGCAATGTAAAAGCCAAACTCCTTGAGCTCCTTACACAGGGAAAGGGTTAAAGTCACCGCCCGGTCACTGTTGCTCCATTGATAAATGAGACAAGGGAGCGGTTGAGGACAAAGAGGATGGCCCAGCACATCAATCCCTCCCTTATGCAGGATCTCTGAGAGCCAGCAAAGCTCTGCAAAGCCCTGCAAGGAGGGGATGGCGCTGCCATGCCCAGATTTACTCCTGGGCTGGGTGTAGTCTCTGACTGGCATGATGACCCGGAGTGCTGGAGGGTCACCGTGGCATGCCCTGGATGTGCCAGTGCCAATACCTGCACGGATGGCTTCTTCTCGGTCTTCCCGATGGAGCGAGACCCACGCTTCTTCAGGGAATTCTGCAGAGAGCAGAGAGAGCTGTTACCCACAGCGATGGCACAGCACCCTGGCACAGACGGACAGACAGACCCTCATGGATGGGCATCAATTCCAACTCTTCCAGCTGCTTGTGAACCCCAGAAAAACACCCGAACTCCAGTGGGCTGAGAGAGGCCCTTTGCTTTGAGGGAGCTGGACTGGCAAGCATCACATCATGAGCTTTGGCCAGAAATTCCCCCTGCAGGCAAGCGAGCAGTGAGAGAGCAGGAGTGAGCAGGAAATGAGCCGTGGAGAGGCTGAGTCACAGTCCCTGTCAGGGCTGGATGGAGCGGGGAATCCAACCCTGAGGCCAAGGGACAGCTCTCAAGGCATCCCAGTGTGGGAGCAGCAGATGATGACATTCCCCATCGCCTTTTCCCCAGTCAGGGGACATGTCCTGGTC